CCCCCATGGTTGAAAGGTCGAACATGTTTAGTGGGACGGGAATTCGAACCCGCGACTCTCAGATTGCGAGTCAAGCGCCCTAACCACCCGACGTAGTCTTGATATGGTTGGAAATGTTAAATCAAGGGTGAGATTCTTCTTCAGGTATAAATAAACAAATATAGAAAGAGCAGGCTTGACAGTACACCAAGTATCATGACACAAAAACAATTAAAACACGTAACGCAGACAGAAAAGACATGTGTACAGGATTATGTTTTCTCGTTATATTATCAAAGAGTTGACATTTGAAAGAGAAATATCGCTATGTACGAAAAAAAAAAAAAACTTGTGAAACAAGTCTCTTTTCAGTAAAAGCAAATGAATGACTTGCCATACCAGTGCAGAGGAGATGAATCACTGTTTTTAAGAATGATTGTTAAATTCTTGATCCTCTGCAGTAAAGATAAAGCATTCCTTTTGGAGTTCGAAGTATTTCTAAGCGTAATTGTCAAATTGCAAGAGATTTTTTATTATTGAAGATGAAACCCTTATTGCTAAGAATAGTAAAACAAAACGTTAAGAATTTGCATTTAAGACGGAACATCTGTTTATGAGAAGTAGAACTAGAGCTTCAGGCATCCAGACTGCTATTTCGTGGTTTTTCAAATTTTTTAGTACATACTGGGGAGATTTAGATATCTTGGCAATAAAGCTAGAGTAAAAAAAAAAAATGACCTTTAACTCCAGATAACAACAAAAAACTTTTTATATCAGCCAACGTTTCGCCAGTATATTAGTCTGACAAATAAATGACTTATAAACTTATACTAAACTAATCTTTCTTGAACCAATTTAGTTAGACTGCCTACTCTTTCTTAAACCAATTTAGTTGCAAGATTTGTCTTTCAATATGGAAACGTCTGGGAGACCAAACGGTTTTCTTATTGGAATGGTTTATTTTTTACTATAAAATAACACCGAAACTAGCATAATATACTTCTAAGTTTATTTACATAGGTTTCAGAAGTTTCACACGCTAAAATTTACGCGATGGATGTTATGCGATTTTTCACGCATAGAAACGAAACTTACTATGTGATATCCCAAAGTACACACTTTGGGGTATTACAATGAAACGCTGTGTTACAGTACAATGCCTGAACTACTATGAAATAAAGTCGATAAGGAAGAAATGATGCGCAATAAATCGATTGAAGTAGGGAAGGAACTTTCGCCGCTATTCATTTTGAACTGTAGATATAAAGATCACGACTTTCATGTAATACTCCAAAAAGAATGCGTTTGAGGGAATTTTATCGTCGAACAAAAGAGCGGAAACTAGATGGTGCCAGATTTTGTCAGTTTCACAATTGTCTAGAATTAATCCCTTTCCTTGGAAATTGAGTCCAACATGTTTTGTTTTATTTTATCATTGCGTTTTTGTAATTTATTAAACCTTTGTTGCAGAGCTTGGAGTAGAATCCATCCATTTCCTTGGAAATTGAGTTTAACATGTTTTGTTTGTTTTAGTCATCGTGTTTTTGTAATTTATAAGACCTTTGTTACAGAGCATGAACAATGTTTAATACTTCTAGTATTACTTTTTTCGGCCATTTTGATATTTGTGTGCTGTGTTTCTGGTATTACACGTGTCAGAACAGCTGTTTCCCGATTGCGCAGCTCCCTAGCTGTCCCTTGACAATATCACAAAACGTAGACCCTCAATCGTTTCGCTTTAATGTTGTCCTATCGTTTCGCAGGTAAAGCGAAAGTGAGTTTCTCAGAAGTATAGATTTTCTATTATGTTTCTTGTATCGCAGCGCAACCCATGTTGAAACCTCAAGATTTACATGAGCAATTTTTTTGTTATGAATATTCGTCTTGGTGTAACGTAATGAATGAGTTCTTACCAAATGTTGAAATAAAAAAAAGGTGTAAGGTAATGAATGCGTTCTGACCAAATGTTGGCATAAAAATGGTGTAAGGTTATGAATGCGATCGTACCAAATTTTGACATAAAAAATGGTGTAGGTAATGAATGCGTTCTTACCAAATGTTGACAGAAAAAAAAGGAAGCGTAATTTGAAAATTAGATATTTAAATAAGGCAGACCTAAAACTTGTTATTAACAAAAATCACGATTAGGTTTGTTTGTTTGATTGTTTATTTAAATTTGTAAAGCTATTCGAGAGCTATTTGCGGTAGCCTCTCCTAATTTCAAGTCTCCCGGTGGGACAGCGGTAAGTTTACGGACTTTCAGGGCTACTATCCAGGGCTCTATTCCCGCGGTGGACACAGCAGATAGTCCAATATGGCTTCTCTCAAAAACGTAACAAGCAAATAAGCTAAGCAAACCCTTATTTGGAAGTAGTAGGCTAGAGGAAATGCAGTTAGATAACACCACCGACCGCCAACTCTTGAGTTACTCTTTTACCAACGATAAGTGAGATTGACCGTCACATTATAATGCTCCAAACGGTTGAAAAGGCAAGCATGTTCGGTGGTGGGATCAGTATTAGGATATCAATAGTAAACAATGATTACTCTCTGGTCAACAATATTATGAACTTTAACACAAATTCAGCTAATTCACTTGGGAATGACTGGAATTAATTCTTTTTTTCTTCTTCTGTTATTAGGGGCTTTAATTGAAGTCTGAAAAATTTATATAGTAAACACATTTCAAGTTTCAGCTTCACTTTCATGGATGGTTTGTCGTAAAGTTATTTTAGTTATTTTTGTCTTTAAAAAATGTTCTGGTAGGAAACTAACAGTTAAGAATTATATTCGACTTTATTCTCCAGATATTTGGGGGACTTGCCAAAAATAAATATTTTTAGAAACTGCACCTGTCATATAACATTAGAAAAGAACCTTATCTGTTACAAACATACGTAAGCCAGAAATACTGGTATACGATTAGTGATTATATACGCTAGAGCAGGCGTAGACACACAGTTTTACAGTAACTTACAATAAAAACTCAATATGTTTAGTTTAAAATTGTACAAGACTATTTTTGGACAGAACAAAAATGAAACTCGGAATGAATTAGAGTGTTTTCTTTAAAAGCTGTCGAACCCGAAATAAATAAGCAGGACTGTAATTATAACAGAAATGATCTTGCTTGAACAGGTAATTATGAAAGCTAATTGCATTAACAAGAATTTGATTTATGGTGAATAGTTTACTAATAACATTCTAATGTTGTAATACCTCTAATATACACTTGAAAACATTTTGTGTCTTGCTTCTCAAAAAGTGTATGCAAACAATAAAGAAAAGATGGAACTTTATCTAATCAGGTCCTTCTCTAAGGAACATGGTGTAATATATCAGACATGCAAAAGGTGGATGTACTGCCATAGTTTTAACACAGTAGATTTTCTGCTACAGTTTTAACACGACAGAAGCTTGATGTTCTGTCAGTTTTAACATGGTAGAAGCTTGATATTATGTCAGGTTTAATATTATGTCAGCTTGATGTTCCGTCAGTTTTATCATGATAGAAACTGGACGTTCTTTCACAATTTTAACATGGTAGAAGCGTCATGTTCTGTCAGTTTTAACATGATAAAAGCTTGCAAAAAGATTATTAGAGTTATCAAGACTGCTTACAGACGGTTTACTAGCGTTATCAAGACTGCTTACAGAAGGCTTATTAGCGTTATCAAGGCTGCTTACAGACAGTTTATTAGCGTTATCAAGACTGCTTACAGAAGGTTTATTAACATTAATCAAGACTGCTTACAGATGGTTTATTAATGTTATCAAGACTGCTTACATAAGATTTATTAGCGTTATCAAGACTTCTTACAGAAGGTTTATTAATGTTATCAAGACTTCTTACAGAAGGTTTAGTAATGTTTTCATGACTTCTTAGAGTAGGTTTAGTAATTTTATCAAGACTTCTTATAGAAGGTTTATTAACGATACAAAGACCGCTCACGAGCTCACCTAACTTGAATCATTAAAACATCATTATTTCTATGTTTGACTTCTGTTTACATTATGTACAAACTAAAACAGCTAAGTATATATATTCTTATTAGAAAAAAATGTGTATTTCTACATTGACGCCAGTGTATCCCACTTGCATAACGAATGACAATGTAATGATATAGGTTTTCTTTCTTTAGATTAATTATTTATATTTATAGCATGAAAAGGGAGTTATGTTACTAGTGAATATTGGATTTATGAGTGAAATAAAATCGCAAAAAGAAAACACAAAAGACAGGTAGCAGAAATCTCGTTATCTGAAAGTTTATAAACAGCCACGAATATCGAGAATCATCTGTAACTAAAAAAGGCATCGTTTAGAACATGGTGGGGAAAAAAGTCAGTCCAACTGAATGTGAAATTTGTGACTGTTTACTTTTGGGAATTGAAAACTCTTTGTTAAGTTTTTTCTTTCAATGAAACCTCCCTGTTTTCAGGCCTACATGGTCAAGTAATTAATGTGTAGGGATGTGAATTAATTAATGTGTCGGGATGTGAATTAATTAGTGTGTCGGGATGTGAATTAATCAATGTTTCGGGATGCGGATCGGAGGGTTAGAAGTCGAGATGCGACGGTGCTGAACACACTCCGCACTTTCAGCCTTGGGCGAGTTATAAAAGTGACAGTAAATCCTGTTATTCGGTTCTCAGAGCAACAGGCGTTACTAGGTAGTTATTTCTCAATTGACCAATAGTTCAAAATTGGGGTTTGATTTGTTTTGGAATTTCGCGCAAAGCTACACGAGAGCTATCTGCGCTAGTCATCCCTAACCTAGCAGTGAAAGACTAGAAGGAAGGCAGTAAACTCTTGGGCTACTCTTTTACCAACGAATAGTGGGAATGATCGTCACGTTATAATGCCCCCACGGTTCAAAGAGCAAGCATGTTTGGTGGGACGGGGATTCGAACCCGCGACCCTCAGATTGCGAGTCGAGCGCCATAACCACCTAACCTAACCACCTTGCCACGCCGGGCCCAAAATTGGGGACGGTAATACCAAGAAAGGGATCTCTGACCTGGCCATTTAGTCCACGTGTGCATTAAATGTCGTTGAAGTTGGACTCCAATTCTTTGCTGTTTTCCTTTAATTTTCCAGTGCTTTTCATCTCTGTAGGTGTCACTATAAGCCGATGTAGGTGTCACTATAAGCCGACTAATAATATAAAATAAGATCATTTGTATGTTTTCAAACCATACACATAAGCTTACCTACAAAAGATAACATCAGTACCACAAAATAGTTTCATGAAAGTTTTCTACATGTATATATATTTTTCACACCAAAAACTGGTTAAGCTTGAATCTATAAACCAGAATTAAAGTTGTAGTGCATTAACCCTTTACGGTTTTAGTCTTAGTGCCCATGCAAGTTCTAATCCTGTAATTATTTTTATAAGCTCCTTTTCAGCGACAGAAAAAGCAAGTATTTATTTCTAATTTCCCCAAGTGTAATCATCCAGAATCTTGTACTAACTTCTACAGTAATAAAAATAGAACAAATTGATCGTTCTCTACTAAGATATTGGACATCTCCCAGAGTAATTTCGTGTAATCTTGGGTATTAAAGATGTCGCTCCCGATGTTTAATGTTAAACCGCATTTAAATGTTTATGTATTAGAGTAACATGTAGGCTTAGCTGTTAGTCGGTAATGTACGTACTGGGAAGAACCTTAATTCGAAATTTAACATGATTATTTGAAAAGTTAAACATTTTCCTGTAATGGAAAGCAGGTTTCATTTGCACGCTCCCTGTTATTACAAAACAGTCACTCATCCCTATACCATTAGCGTAATGAGTGCCACTTCATAGCCAGATATATTACATTTAACTATGCTGAATTATATCTCATTTACATAAGACGACTTTGTATCAGACGGAATTGTACGGTCTATATACATATGTATATATTACACATTATTTTTGTCTCTATTAATCACATGAGTTTTCATTAAACTTAGAGACAAGAGTCAGTATCACAGATAGATTCTCAGAACAAACATTCGTTGAAACTTTATCGAATTAGGTTCGATGAATTGAACAAGAACAGAAAAAGAGCAAGTTTACTTAAACATGTTCTATTTCACGGTTTGTCGAATCAGTGAATACACTTCTGAAAGAATACCTCACGATATCGTATAACGTGTATATTATTCACAAATAAGGAGATCCGATATCTCGTCCATTTTCGAAACTAAACATTTTTTCTTTATAGACCAACTAGGAAAAGATCCACCTTTCAAAGCAATTTTTTTGTAACTGTGATCAATTCAGTGTTTTGATATTATACGATTTTTAGGTTCCGTTATATTATATGCTGTTAAAATTACAAATGCGGGGAACGTTTTAATCTTAAATGTGGAAATCAATGACACTTTCAGTAAAGCATGTCAGAAATTTTGGGTACTTTTCCTAAAATAGTTCATTTGGAAATATGGAACAATTGGAATTAAAGGAAAACCAAATGCTTCCCGCTTCAGATAAATCATTTTCTTCTTAAAATAATTATTTCGTCAAATTACATTAATTACTTTCAACGTTTCTAAAGAGTTGCATCGTACTTAATAAAAGTTACAATAATGGTGGTCATCGAATATGATTATTAAACTACTTAACTCTTGTAACACAGAATTAGTTGAGGGCAGGGGCGTTGAGAGCCAGTCCAGGCCCCCAGGGTCAGTAATATCATCGTCCCTCCCTTTCATTCTATTTATTAACCTTTGCTGATTTTTCATAAAATAAAGTTAGGGGACAAATTTCTTCATGAATCCACGAAAAAGCATTAGTCATTTTAGCTCATTAAGTAGTATGTATTTCTAGTGAGTTTTAGAATATCTCACTGCCGAGCCTCTCAATAGATCCCGGAACAGCTGCCCCCCCCCCTCGCTACGAACCTAATTTAGAGCACAGTAAAAGAACTTCGGAGCAGATAAACTTTGTTGCTATGATATAAGTTGTCGCCACTAGGAGACACCAAGTAGTTCGAACGAAGGTGTCTCCTCTCAACAGGGACATCACACAAGCAAAACGTGGAAGTTTTTAAGGATATTTAGGGATGCGATTCAGTAGTTATTCAAATACATGTTGTTGTTCAGTTTACAGTTCAACAAATGGAAGTAAAAAAGTTACTAAAGAAGTTTTAGCTATCCATGAGAACAGAAGGTCCCAAGGAGTCCTAGTCCTAATGAATGTTTCCATGGGGATATTCTAGCTTTTAGTTTTAAGAAAATAGCTACAGTAAGTAAATTAGTGATAATAGACTAGAGTTAAGGTAGCTAGTCAACACTACCCACCGCCAACTCTTTGGCTAGTCTTTTACCAACGAATAGTAGAATTGATTGTCACATTATAACGCCCCAACGGCTGAAAGGGCGAGCATGCTTGGTGGGACGTGAATTCGAAATAATGTGTATCCTTAATTTCACAATTAGTAATTTGTATACTGCATATAATGTTGTACTAAAAGCTTCAGTTGACTGTGGTTACAACATATTCTCAGACTGTGACAATGAGAAACACGCGCTGCCAAATCAAACAGTCATACCAAACTGCCAGTCACATACGACAGGAGACAAATGTTAATGTACTTTCCAGACGTCTGCACTGATGATTCATCTAATCATTAAATCAAGGTTTTACCTCTAGTATAGTAGCTTCTATCGAACTGTAAATAGACGTATCTCGAACGTGTTTCTAATTCAGAACCTTTATTAAGTTGCTTTAAGTGACGTTAAAGAGTCAGCAGTTGGAGACAAGGCGACATAAAGTAACTCGTTTGACCTTTCTGTAATATCGTTTCAAGTGGTACCTAATCATGATGAGCTCTCATACTTCATGCCAGCAAGAGTTCAATTAACGAACTGCAGAAATTCAGGTTCTTAAAACCAGTTACTTTTTTAACTTCTGATGAACACTGATGCTTTATACCCATAAAAGTTGAACTAAGATTGTGAAGAAATTTAGGGTTCTTAAAACCATTTAATTTAAATTCTGATGAACTCTGATGCTTTGTATCCACAAAAGTTCAACTAAGACTCTGCAGAAATTTAGGATTCTTAAAACCATTTAGTTTAAATTCTGATGAACACTGATGCTTTATACCCACAAAAGATCAACAAAGACTCTGCAGAAATTTAGGGTTCTTAAAACCATTTAATTTACATTCTGATGAATATTGATGCTTTATATCCACAAAAGTTCAACTAAGACTCTGCAGAAATTTAGGGTTCTTAAAACCATTAAACTATCGTGAATGGAACTTGTTTAAACATATTTTTTTAAATTCATGTTAGTGTTTTTGGTTTGGTTTGTTTTAGAGCAAAGTCACATTGGGCTACCTGCTGAATAAAACCCCGAATTTTAACTCTGTAAGTCCGTAGACTTACCACTGTCCCATCGGGAGACCCATGTTTATGAGTATAATAATTGAAATCTGGGCAAAATCTGATTACAGAAACTTAGTAAATTCAATTTTGCATGGTATCTGCCTTGAAACCTGTAAGATTGGTATATCCTGTATTTCATGTACTTTATTTATAATTGTCTGTAAAATATATAACGATTATTGACAGTAGCTTACTGAGTAAGAGTAATCACTGAATGTCTTTCAAAGTTTCCAACCAAAACTTCCCCAGTTGCCAAGCATCATACGAGTGTCGTAAAGGTAATAAAAAAACTCATGTTAAACTTAAGTTATTTCTGTGACTCACTATCCCAACAAATATCTCGAAAGTAATTCCACCAGGTTTCTGTAAATAATTCTGTAAAGTTTAACAACAAAAAAACTTAATGAAAGTATTCTTGCACAGTTATTTCCGTAACGAAATTCCAATTATCATTTGTAAAAAACATTACAAATCAATATCATTGTTGATAGATGGATTAAGTAAATAAACAGGTAGAGTAGGTAGATAGACAGATCAAGTAAATAAACAGGTAGAGTAAGTAGATAGACAGATCAAGTAAATAAAGACAGGTAGAGTAAGTAGATAGACAGATCAAGTAAA